TTTATTTGCTTGATGAAGGATATCATTATTCTTAAGATCACTTGAAGTGCTTCCATCATTCACCATATGTCCTTGACGCCGTCAAGTGGCAAAGATAAAAGGTCGGGAATGGTGGTGTTGAAAGTTCGGTGGATGAACGGAAGCTTGCAATGAAATGGGGAGTGGACTAATTGCGAGGGTGGTGGGAACAAAATACGAGCTAATTGGGACTTGGCAGGGTTGGAGGAAATCGTTTATGGAAGGAGTTGGGCGTTGGCGTGCGAAATAGGAAGATATGAGAAAGATAATGAAAATTGATTGAGGGTCTTCTATAAGGTTAAGGTTGTGTTGTTGATTATATTGGGCTGCGAGAAGTGAACTTGACCCAGTTCATGGACAAAACTCGACCTGACCAACCTGAATTTGCTCCAATTTACATGAACCTTGAAATCGTACAAAATCGTAGAAATCATAGAATTTAAGGATTTTAAAGTTTTAAATTGAGAATTTATGGGATTTTAAGGTTCTAAAATTTTATAGTAAAATCAGGATCGGAACTCATAAATAAGATCGTAAACAAAGAAATCGATCTTAGCTATAATCCAGTTATGGGCACCTAAATTTCTTAGATATATTTTCTATAACTATTATTGTGAAAATTGTCAAGTGCATGAACCCAATATTGAAAAATTAACCAATACAAATAAATCGAGTTCAATTATGTTGTTTTGTTCAACTTGAAAAATTGATAATTGTATAAATTTATAGCGAGCATTCATAGCCACCTCGCACCTCAAGGGATGGATATTTTATCATGGGGGGGCATGAATTTTGATGGTATATGAATTATAAAGATCAAAACAAATAGATAATGGTTCCTTCAATAAATAATTAAAAACAAAGGGATGCTTAAGTTTATTGTTTTATCATTTTATACATTTGTCACCTTAACTTTGGATATCTTATGTTATTATCTTATCCCCTTTCATGATTCCAGATCATTACTAATTAATAAATAATTAACTAGTGCCAGAATAGAAAAATAGTCTTATTAAATACAGAATTTATGTCTATTAATGATGACAGAAGCTACATTACTAAATGAATTTCTTCTATGGGGTGCAACAGGTTGCAATGAAATCCCTACTACGGTTATAAGCAAATATAAAATTCTAATGAGCAATTTGGATGTGTCAAGTGTAAATGTAAAAATTCTAGATAAATTTTTTAACTTTAATTTCGTTAGACATTTTAAAATGACTACAACCTTTTTGTGATATTTGAAAATAACTCAAATGAGAAACTATTATGAATCACTTAGCAATTCTAGCTGTTCCAGTCAGTCATATTAGTGATGATCAAGGTAAACTCCATCCAACTGAACTTCGTTTAATTCTTCTGTTGTCCGAATAAGTTAGAACTCACTTCATGTGCATCATGTGTTTCTAGTTCATGTTCGCATTTCATCAATCGTTTGTTACATCGCTAACAAAGGTGACATTACTTATCTAAGCCTTTGGAGTGCTAATGCAAGTGTGGAATTAGTCAGCGGCGGATCCAGAACACAGAAGAGCACTGGGCCGCATTTCATTAAAAAATTAGAACCGTAAAATAACATTATAGTTTTTTTACAATATAAATTGTACACGACGGTATTTTAATTTAGCGAATGCATCAATTATGGAGTCCACATCCATACCAATAGTATACATTGTTTTAAATAAAATACTTTAGCAATCGGCTAGAAATTCCTCGTTCATTTTATTGCGAAATCAGTTTTCATATGTTTCATTGTTGAAAAGGTTCTCCTTGTAGTAGTTGTTGATACGAGCAACGTCAACACTAGACAAATCAATCGTGCATTGTGTGTCCATACCTATATCCACTAACTGCTTTGGTAAATTTTCAAGGGAACAAACCTCATATTTCTTATAGTCTTTTACGTTTTAGACTTTTAGAATTTTAGATTTCATTGTTTTTTTTAGAAAAGTAGTCTTTGGAGCTAGAATTTCTAGGCTAAATTTATAGTAGTGATTTGAATACGTTAATCTGAATCATGTTTCTAGTTACACACAATCTTATTATAAATAACACTAGGCCGAATAATTAAAATCGAAAAATTCATAAACACTATACTAACTCCGAATCCAGGGGAGGGCTGGGCCAGGGCCCGAGGTGGCCACCCCCTGGATCCGCCACTGGAATTAGTTTTAGTTTCTAAGTAATCTAGAATTTGAGTATTTGCTTTCGCGTAGAGCTATTGCAAATGAGTCAACTTGCTCACGAGCGACTCGGCACCCGATACTCGGTTTGTTTACTAACGAGTCTATGAGTTTGAGCTAGTCTTGTTTAGCTCACAAGGTTCGCGAGACAAACTGAACTCGATGGCTTGTTGATGTTACTCGTGGTCTACCTCGTTTTGAGCCATAAGCTGACTCGAGAGTGTGACTAGCCAACCACCTTGACTAGTGGTTTATGAGCAAATGGATTTATAGCTCATCAGTTGGCTTGTTGACATTTCATTAGTTTGTTAGATTATATATCTCATCACATATGATATTTAAGACTTGTGAGTAAGTGACCAAATACATCTCATTTACATATGAATAGTTAAATTTTATGAACTAACTAATATGATATCTAAACTTCAGTCGATATTACGAGCTTATGAACTATCCACCCTCGATCCGACCCGTTCCCATCCCTAACTTTGTAAGGTTTACCAATATTTTTTTCCCCCGGTAGAAAGCTTAACCAATATGACTCAGTTTCTTTTAATTTATTTATTTATTGTGTTTCTTGTAAAATAAAATCAAGCAATCGTCGAGAAGCGGAAGAAGCTAAATAAAAAGAAAAAGAGAAACACACAACAACAAAACAAAAAAACAAAAAACAAAAAGAGAAAAAGAAAAGACCAAGTCAGTCAGGAGATCTCGTCGTCTTGTCCACCAACATTTACGCGCCAACTAAGACCCAGCTGTAACCCTCTCCACGTGTGCACCTTCCCTTCCGGATTTCTCCCTCAGCGCCCGTATCCGCCCCGACCCGTACAGCGTGGCAATCTCACGAGCGTCCCCGTCACGTCATCCTCACTCCTCTCCCCAACCACGTCATCCAGGTGGCCCCCACTTCAAGTCTCCTGTCTCTGTGACTCTGTCCGTGTCCGTGTCCGTGTGGAGTCCGTGTAAGCGAAAACTCGCTACTCTCCTCTCCGATTCCTACTCCGAGTAACATAAAAAGCGCTCGCTTCCTTCCTTCTATAAAAGCCCGTTAAGTTAGCTTCCTTATTGTAAAGAAAAAAAAAAAGAAAAAAAAAACCCCAGTAATTTAATATTGACATTATATAAAATCCTAAAAAGGCAAAAGCTCCATAAAAAAGGGCAAAAGCAAAGTTAAGCCGGATAATAATTATTTAATTTGCAATCACACTACCCTTTTTCTCACATGCTAATTCTCGAATCTCGATTACTTGAACTAGTATGAGGGTTGTTAGCGAAATAATTATCGAGAGCTTTAAAATGTCTACTAGTTTTGGATAAAGTTCAATAGTGTGTGTATATGCCATATTTATTAATAATTTGTATTATCTATGAAATTTTCTCTATATAATTTTATCAATTCATCTCTCGGGTTTTGCCAAATTAATAAAGTATAGTATTAGTTCAGGTTATGAGTTAAATACCACAAGTATTAGTCAGAATATTAAATATGAAATTTTTTTGAGTCAGACAAATATATTAGCCCAATAAAAAGTAAATTCCTAAGAGAATCATAATAACTAGGAGTGGGCATTGGGTGGGTCGGGTGGATTTTGACCATAAAATGCACCCACCCGTCGCTTAAACGGATTGATAATCTTTAACCCACCGCCCACCCTCATTTAGTCTCAGGTTGGGTCGGGTGGATGGTGGATGATGCGGGTGGGTTTGTGGGTTCACCCACATCACAATGTATATAATATAAAGGAGTCAACTTGACATGATAATAGGCGAAGAGAGTTATTGAGGGAAACAATAAGATGAAATAGGGCGAAAAATGTCGAATTAGTTCTTAAATTGGATAGAAATTCTATTATGAAAGAGTTTTCTACAGATTGAGATGATTATCAGGTGCAAGGAACTAAGAAAAATAAATCCATAAAGGAAAGAGCGGTGATCTAGGCACAAGAATTAGAGGAAAAAATAAAGAGAAGAAGAGGGGATCGCTATTTGGAAGGTTGGCTTTGAGGTTCAAATTCCAGGAGCGATCCTAGTTTTTTTTCTAACTTCTCCACTCTCCCCTCTCTAGCGCCAACGACTTTGATCTTTTTGCTGTTGGGTTGAGCGGGTCACCCGCGCACCCACCTACAACCCATCCACCATCCGACGGATGGCTCCCAGGGCAATCCATCACCCACCCACAGACCCACCCATTTAACGAAATTCGGATCAAATGCGGGTGAGTCGGCCCAAACCCGCGGATAATCCGCCCGCATGCCCAGACCTAATAATAACAATGCATACATTAGTTGTCCTTGCTATTGCTTGCTCTTGCTCTCGGTTGCTGTCTGCTTGCAGAGCCCTCTCCTGGGCTGTAACCTTTTCCTTTTCTGTTTCCTTTATAATTAATAAATGATTTCACCATTACAAAAAAAAATAATAATAATAATGCATACATTAGTTATAATTAGATTATAGCATCACATTAAATCTAATCTTAAGTTATGCATGTGAAATCAATATCGAATCATAGAAACGCCGTTAACTCAACAAGTTTTTTTTTTTTTTGGTAGGAAACAAGTTTTTTGTTTAATTAACACATTTCTAAATGACTCCTTCTCCCTTCACTTCTCCTTGCAGTAGAAAATATTAATTTTCCCTTATGAAAAAAATAAATGTAACAATTTTGTGGATAAATATTTGTATTTCATTTGTCTTATCTAATGTTATTATTATTCTAATTAAGGTAACACATTTAAAAAATTAAAAAGCTTTTTAATTTAACTTCTCGATATAGACGTTCCGTCGTCTCTCTCTCTCTCTCACAACCATAAAACGCGGTCCAAATCTTCCCAATAAAATGTCCGCTGGCTCCAATTAGGGTTTCTCATCATTCCCCCACCTCTTCTTCTCCTCTCCTTCCTTCTCCGCACTTTCCATCTTCCCCACAATCTCTTTCAGCTGCCATCTTCCGAGTCGAAATTCCCGTTTCGATCCCGATTCCGGCCAATTTCACCCTTCTATTTAACCTTAAATGCGGATTTGAGGGAAGCGATTTTCCACGGATTCTCCCGGTTCTCTTTCGTCGTGATTTCCAGCTCCCATTTCTGGTTCTCGTTCCAGAATGCCGGCGACGGATTTTCAAGGATCGTCGGCAGCATTTGGGAGGGCACTTTTGAGTCTGCGTCGCGATCAGGTCCATTCCATGGATGGGCACGGCCACAATAGCAGCCACGAGAGCTCCGGTCTCGAGTCCGAGCTCGAAGCGTTTCAGAAATTGGTAGGGGAGAGGTTCCTGGATCTCTCGTCGGTTAGATCTGACGATTTGCTTTCCCTCGCCTGGATCCGGAAGCTGCTCGATGCGTTCCTCTGTTGCCAGGAGGAGTTCAGGTTAATTTTATCGAGATACAAGTCTTATTGCGGTAAGGCGCCGTTGGATCGGTTAGTCCACGATTTCTACGAGCGGAGTGTTAAGGCCTTGGATCTCTGTAACGCCATTCGCGATGGGATTGAGCAGATCAGGGAGTGGAGGAAGCTGTTGGAGATTGTTCTCTGCGCCTTGGATAACCAGAGGCTTCTCGGAGAAGGCCATTTCCGCCGGGCTAAGAAGGCACTGATCGATTTGTCCATCTCCATGCTCGATGAGAAAGAGTGCACCGCTGCTTTGTCCCACAGGAACCGATCTTTCGGCCGGCATCAATCTTCTTCCAAGGATAACCACCTGCGGGCGCTTGGCCATTTCAGGTCCTTGTCTTGGAGCGTCTCGCGGTCGTGGTCTGCAGCTAGGCAGCTCCAGGCAATCGGAACCAACATTGCGGCGCCCAGAGCCAACGAGGTCGTGTCCACCAGTGGTCTCGCCATTGCTGTCTACACCATGAACTCTGTTCTGCTTTTTGTAATGTGGGCTCTTGTGGCGGCGATCCCATGCCAGGATAGGGGTTTGCAGGTTCATTTCTCGATTCCCAGACACTTCTCCTGGGGTGCCCCTCTATCCTCAATGCACGAGAGGATACTCGATGAGTCGAGGAAACGGGATAGGAGGAATGCTTGTGGACTGTTGAGGGAGATTTATCAGATGGATAAATGCTCGAGGGTGCTGTCTGAATTAGCAGATTCTGTGCAGTTTCCATTGCCGGAGGAAAGGGAGCGAGAAGTTAGGGAGAAAGTCCAGGAATTGGGCCAAATATGTGAGGATTTTAAGGAGGGGTTGGAGCCTTTGGAGAGACAAGTGAGAGAGGTGTTCCATAGAATCGTTCATAGCCGGACGGAAGGGCTTGATACTCTGGGAAGAGGTAATCACAACGATGCTCATTGAAGAAATTGGGCGATTGAAGCAATGAGAAAGATGGCTAGAGCGCAAGCAGTGAAAATAAATGGGTAATGAAATTGGGTGGTAAAAGAAAGGAGTTCTTGTATTTATTTACCATCATCAGTATATGTGTAGAGAAACATATGTTAGGATTATGGGAAATTGGGGACTTTGGATCCGTGCTCCTGCTGATCTCCAGCTTGTGTTTTATTGTATAATGAAACTTTCTCAGTAAATTGCGTCTTTTAGTACCACGTTTCCTGTATTGCACTTGGCCTTTTGCTTCATGGTAGGCATTGTTGAGATTGGAAGTATAGATATCGTTTGGCTATTGATTCAAAGGAAAATGTCTGTGTTCAAAGTACACATTCTGTGTTGGTCATTCAGTTTGAAGAACCACATAGTCAGAGCATGTTGGCACCGAGAGCAATTCTGCAGGTACCCACTTGGTCGTTTTTCACCTGCACATAAGATATAACTGCCACTGGAAAATTTTCATATCTTACCTCCACCAGAAACTTCCCTGTTATGTCTGTAGGTAATCGATTTTTACACCAAGGCTAACCTTCATTATGAGGTGTCTTTCATTTTTTGCTCTCATATCCCTAACCAACCTTATCTTGGCTGTCTCCTAGAGTAGGACATGGGCAGATTTTGTTGTTTTTCAAATCTGTATGCAAGTATACACAGCCGTCTGCAGTTAATGCTAATCAGACTCTTCTGTTCAGAACATATGCACAAGAAGTACCATATGGAATTTGTTTATTGCCTCGTGTCCTGACCAGTTTTAATAAACTACTGCAAAGTATGGAGTTTGTGTTTGCCCTCATGGGGACATTGTGAATCGTAGGGTGCAGAGGTCAAGGTCCATACCTGTCTATCCTGATTATAGATAGCTGTGTGTGTTGTGACTTTTGACTTTCTCCAATGTGGAATTCTTCTTGGCGGTTCAGTCTAAATTATATATCCTTGTTTAAAATCAAATGATACAGAAGTGATGTTTGGTTTCTTTCTTCTTACATGGTGGAAGGAGCCTCCAATGGCAGCCATGTGAGCTTTGACTTTGATTCGGTCTCAGCTTCTGTGCCCACTCATAAATGAAAGGGATGCAAGTAATTGAAACATGTGTCTGCAACTGTTGTGATGCTTTGTTTATTGTTTATAATAAGGTTTGTTGACCCCTGTTACCGTGATCCTCTCTTTTGTGTTTCAGTTTCAGATTTTCTTAATTCTTATTTTGATTGCCAAAGAAATTGGAGCTGTACTGTAGCCTCAACAAGTGCTGCTGCTGGTAGGCTGTAATGTAACGATCAGCCTCTATTATTTTAAATGGCTGATCTGTAGTGTTTTGATACTCTGGCGTGAGGGTTTGAAGACATTCCTAGATTGACCTGATCGTTGTTATTAACTGTCACATGGAAATGGGTGTGTGATTGAAGAAGGGAGCATAGCATCCAAGGTGACAGAAATTTGCTGTTTGAGCTGTCTGTGTGTGTGGAAGAAATGCTTAATGATATGTTTATTCTTTGGCCATGTGAGGCCGTAACGTGCACTATAGCAGCCATTGAGTAAAGTATTTTTTTTTTTTTTGTTTTCTCAGAATTCCCCAAATCCTCTGCTTTCTGAAGGCTTCCATACCGTAGCATATATAACTTTTTATCTTCTAGAACAAAGATCTACGGAGTCTTATTGAACAAGTTAGATCTATCTGCTGAAAAGCTGCAGTATTTGCTGGTTTGTGGTGCAGGCTTTGGCTGGTGAAGTGTAAGCATCCAAAGCACGTAGATAAAACTTAATTTGGGGTACCTACTACTACAAGCAGATGGGAGATGCTGCTACAACTTAAGGAGTGGTGGCCCTTCTTCGCTCACGCCAGCAATATATGTGAGCAGTTATTACCTCGCCTAGCTTTAATTGCAAAAAGCTGTTTTCTGTAAGGTTTCAACTTTTCAGCAATTTTTATCTGACTTGTGTACAGGACTCTGCACCGTCAGCAGCTGTGCCAACGAGGCGACAGAGTCAATAGACAATCTGCAGGCCATTCATGAACCTGGGGTCAAGCTTCAACAGATGCAAGGAAATTGAAGTTTCCTGGCCAGAAAGAAAGGGAGGGACTCATTCATCAGCCTTAGCAAAACAGGTGGGGCTGGAAGTCAACTCAGCCACCAGTGAGGAATTTGTGGCAGGTACATCAACTAATACCCGCGCTCACTTCCTAAAATTGCGATCTTGATGGATACATAACCAACAGTTTGATGAAGGTTAGTCTTGCATGTGATCAACTCTTTGATTAGAGGGGCTAATCCGCGGGACAAACACTGATTAGTCATCGTCAAGTGTTTCTATTAGGACATGGCCATCTGGGCATTAATGGTTTTGGGAAAGGTCCTTTCTTTTTCAGTACCCAACTCGAATAAAATAAGTGGCATGTTGCATATTGCATGATGGGTTTTTGGTGGGGGCTAATGAAGTGAAGTAAGAAGTCTTGGTGTGTATACCGACAATACATGGGCCAAACTAATTGTGTTGCATTTTCTTTGGCAGTCTCATGATCGTCAGAAAATGGAAGGTGTGGCCGATTGTCTTCCATACGCTGCAGCTCACTGGTTTTGTATATTGTAATTTGAAATGTTTTGAAGTTCTCGTTGGGTTTCTGTTGAAGGAATGACAAATCTCCAACCTTTTGTTAGCAACAGCGGGGGGATTTGAGAACCAGATGTTTGGAAACTCCATTGGTGTGGGGATTGGGATGGAAAAGGGCAATATAGCTTAGAGGATGTACTTCTGTTTGTGTAAATTTTATATGAAATTTTATCTATATTTTTTAAATTGATGGGATTTTAATCTCTAGTTTTAACTTCACTTCACCAACTGATGCCAACTCTAACTGAGTATAATTACATTACTATTGAAATCTTCACATCCATTTTTCTTTTGGTACCACACCAAGTTTTTTGAGAAAACAAGTTAGCACGACCGGCAACAAAACCCGAACCCACGGGTACCCACCCGACCCAACCCGGTCAATGTGGGTAAAATTCGTGTTGACAGGTTTTGGGCCGAGTTTAGGTTTAAACCCGCTATACTATTCATCGGGTCGGGTTGGGTTTGGGTAAACCCGCCTCATGGGTACCCGCCCACACACATATAATTACTTTCCCGATATATTTAATATTCTATATAATATATCTTCCTTAAACAATTAATATTCTTTATGTTTGTGGAGACATATAATTTGTTGTTTCCAATTTTTTAGAATGAAGTTGATATTATGAAGTGGAGAGTGAAGAAACTTAGTTGACGAGTAAGAAGCTTTCAATTAATCTTATTGTTTATAGATGTTTATCTTTAATTTTGAACAATTTGTATTGATCATTTGCGGTTTGCTTGTATGCTCTAGATTGGTGTTTTTTGTATGAATAATTTGTATGAGAAAATTAATGTTAAAATTTTATTTTGAAATAAACTTGTTATTGTAAATTTTTTACCACAAAAACCCACGGGTACCCACGAACCCGCGGATACCCAGCGGGTTGGGTTGGGTTTTAGTTTTTCAAACCCAACGGGTTTTACCCCGGATTTTTTTGGCGGATAAACCCATGGATTTGGGTTTGACAAAACCCGCCCCAACCCGACCCATTGCCATCCCTACTTTGTAGTATATGCTTTGATTACTATGACAGGTTGGTATGATATTGATATGGAAATGATAATTATGCGGTGATATCATTTAAAGGATGGCCATTTCAATCACCTATGGGCTAGGCTACTTATATGCTCAAATAGACATGGGCCTATAGATCTTTCTTTCTCTTAAGTGGGCCTCATGTTATGTCAGAGCAAGAAAATGGAGGTCTTGTTGTGGCCTGTGTGGACGATATATGATTAGACTAGTAGAGTTAAAACCAAGGTTCAGGAAACCGTACCGGAGGTTATACCGGAAAAGTGAACGACAAGGTATTATATACTAAAATTATAGTTTAATTGTGATTGAACCTTTTTCTACCGCTAAAACCACCTACCATTTTGGATCCGATATTCAGTATTTTCTGTCCGACCGGCCGGTACAATAGGGTTTCCTAAACCTTAGTTAAAGCACATACTATCGCTTGCTATGCTGATTTAGTGCCTTTGGGAATACAATGTCGTTTGAAGCAAGTGTTTTCGGTTTTGGCGGGAAGCTCTAACGGCCCTTCATTATGGTTGTAGTGTACAAATGGTTCACCGAATCGAATGATTAAAAGTTACTATGAAACCCTTGATTCCTTTTTCAATCATATGAACCCTTGAGGTTAAGGATAATGCTGGGATTTTTACTATAAAAGGAGATAATGCTAGGAGTACTTAGTACTTACCATCAAATCTAATCATTTTACTTTTCAAGAGAGAATTTTATCCACTTTTATTGACAATTAATTGAGTAATTGTTTGAAATGAGGGAACTTTTCAATTTTAGGTAAATAATGCATCTCAATTGTGATATATGCAATCTAACAAAAACTATGCTCGTCGAACAAAACCATCTCAATTGTGATATATACAATCTAACAAAGATAATGTGTGTCGAACAAAACCACATTATAATCGCTTTGTTTTTTCGTTTCTTGTGTTCATCAGGAGCACTTCATCGTCAATTCACAATTAAAGCAATGTAAACCCAATACTTAGAAAGCCTAGCCCTAGGAGAGGATTATATTATTGAAAAAGATGGGGCTAAAAGGGAAACAAAATATGAAGCAAGGTGAAAACTGGAAAGGGTAACCAAACGGGGACAAGCTACGGTGCTAATCCTATAGGGGGTTAGCACCGTCCTAATAGTTGTGGTAGTGTTTTTGCATGGAAGTTTTTGGTAGTTTTTTTTATTAATCGTCTGTGTTAATATGTAGGGTCAGTAGTAGTTTGATGTGCAATCATGGTAGTGTTCCTGGTCATAGTTGTCTTGGGACTATGTAGTTTGGTCAATATTGAGGTGCAATATATTGGTAGTAGTGGTTTTTAATAATACGTGTATAATGTTTGTATGAATACGTGTGTAGCGTTTTGGGGTTAGCAGGTGCTAACAGGGTATGGGTTAGCATCCCAGCCCACCCCAACCAAACGTACCAAATGATTCCCTAAAGGCTAAAGCCCACTCAGCAGTTACAACTAAAACCATTATTATTATTATTATTATTATTATTATTATTATTATTATTATTATCATCTCACACACATACCCCCCTACAAAGCCACTTTGGACCCCTTTTTAGCCATTCTCAAATCTACACACCACTTTTCCCTGCTAATTTTTTCATTCAAAATCATCCATCTTCCATCTCTCAACTACTAGAACAGGCATTACATAGTTAAAAGATGGAAAAGCGACACTGCTTTGACCAAGTTATATCTTCATACTCTGTTCCCCTAAGTGGCACTCTGTTATTTTCCCTTCACATCCATAGCCACAGCAGCAAGAACACACCCGAAAAACCAACCATTTCTGCTCCAAGTGAACCTTTCCTCCACCTCATCATCTGCATTATCACCACAAACCGGGATTTCATTTCTCGTTCTCAAGCAAACATTATAAGATACAATCCTAATGAAAACCCAAAAGGATTTCATATTTGAAACGGTCAAGGTAATTTACCTGTTGGTGGCCAGCACTAGCAGAAGTGGGCAGAGGGCGGATAGTGGTGGAATCCACTTCCCCTGTCGGCAGGGGAACCGCCGGGTTACTATTTATGAACGGCATCCCACCTCCTTTGCCCGGCAACATCTTCGGAACCCTCATCGGCGCGCTAGCACCTCCATAAATGCCGCCATCGGAGGCACTTGGCTCCGGCGCCGGCGCCCAAGCAGCAGTACTCTTCTCCCGCGGCTGAAAAGGCCACGGGTACGCAGGTGAAGACGACACCACTCCGCCTGGAATCGGCGATGCCGGAGCTGCCGTGGGAGGAAATTCAGGCGCCGGAGACTGCGGCGAGACCTTGATGGCGAGCTTCTGGGAGTATTGCTCATCGCACGACGAGGAGGACCCGTTGGAGAAGGCGAAGTAGAAGAATCCTGGGCGGGAAGTGTGCCACTGTAAAATGGGGGGAAAACCCAAAAGAAAAGCACAGATCTTGTGAGGAAGATGGCCAATTAAAGAAGGGAAATGCAGGCATGCACGGAAGGTGTTCGACGAAATTACCGAGTAGGAATGCGAAGGGGAGTCGGGGTTCGTGAGCAGAGTGGCCTGGCTGAAGTTGCAGAGCGTGAAAGCGCTGAAGCTCTGGAAGATGTAGAGGCTGTACCCGTACTTATGCTTGAAGACTGCAGAAAGGGTAAGATTCAGTTGAAGAAAGGGGAACAAAGTGGAAATTATGATGAGTGAACTTACTGACAGAGTCGCCGACGAAGACAGAAGGGTTGTTCCATGGAGATACACCATCGCTGAGAATGGTGGTGGAGGAATGGCAAGGCTGAGTGAGTAGTAGCAGGGGAAAGAGTAAGAAGAAGCAGGTGAAGAGGAGATGAGAAGGCATGGAGGTTGTGGAAACAGTTGTGTGGTGGTGGTTCATCATTGTTGGAATCATCATCATAATCTCAGTGTTGTTTTCGTGGTTTTCCAGGTTTCAGAGTGGTTCATAATTAGCTCAATAAATATACACAATGTGGCTGTGGGAAGTGATTGATGAACAAGGAAAAGAGATGCAGAGAGGAAAGTAGAGAAGAGGGCTATGGAAAGGGAGGGTTTTTGAGAAATGTGTCTTGTTTGTGGGGAAGAAGAAAAAGAGAGGAGACTGTTGCAGATGTCAGAGGGCGCACTCAGGCTTTGTGCTGTGTGTTCTCTTTTTGCTCTTCTTTTGTCATTTCTTTTTCTCAGTTTTGGGGTCGATGTGGGTGACAGAACACAACTACACAAACACAAGCAATAACATGGGGTGTATCATTGTAATTGGAATTGGAGTTCACATGTTTTCGTTAGTGACTTAGGGTTAACAAATTCACAACAATTCTGCGTGTTGACTGACCCAACTAGAGTTTCATGCTAAATTATTTGATCTAGATTTGAATTGTTATAGAGAGATATGGGTATCGAAATTTTCACACCGATCAGTCTCATTGTCATTCATAGAATGAGTTCAATTATTTTTTGGGAGAGTAATAACGTAAAATTTAAGAGAGAGACTAATTAATTGTTTCTAAATTATAATAGAAATATCACTTTTAATTGATTTGTAGATGTGGAAGTTCAAATCAGATCATCTTGGAAATCTTCTTCTATTTAGAGTTTAACTTTGTTTTTGTCAATCTTGAGAGAATACTCAAGAGAACAACATACTTTTTTTTTTAAGTAGAACGACATACCAAAGTAAGAGCCTTTTGATGTTCAAATTAGATACATCATACATGACAATGCTCAGACATTTAGAGAGCAGAAGTTACTTATATATTTTTTGTGGTTTATGCCACATTTGGTCACTGAGATTACTAAATAGAGTCATATTTAGTCATTAGAAAATTTTAATATCAATTTTGATCACTTGAATTACTGAAGCATGTCACATTTAGTCACTTTCCGTTAGTTTTCGTTAAAATTTGATATGTTTCAGTAATTCGAGTGACTAAATGTGACATATTTCTGTAATTCGAGTGAGCATAGTTGGACGGAGGCTAATGGGAGAGTGACTAATTGTGACCTGTTTCAGTATTTCGAGTGACCAAAATTGATATTAAAATTTTCTAGTGACTAAACATGATACGATTTAGTAATCTCATGACCAAATGTGGCATTTACACTATTTTTTATGTTGATGGATGAATACTAAACAAGGTAACTCTCCTGCATCGGCCATTTATGTTTATTAATACCTTATTTTGGCCCGAACTATGACCATATGATTAGTTTTGGTCCGTAGTTTCAGAAATTAGCATTCTGGCCTCAACTATGCAGCATATAGATTTAATTGACCAGACTCATGGTTTGACCGTCAATGTGGACGGTCAACACGTCATGTCATTGCCTCATCAGGCTAAAATCATTAAAAAATTAAAATGATTTTCCTAATTTATCATTTTCAAATCAACCAATTTTTTTTTATTTCAAATAATTTAATAATTTTAAAACAATTCATTTTACCCTGAAACAAAAGAATAAATTTATTTTATATTATTTTATATTTTGGTTAATTTGATAATGATAAATAATAAAAATTAGGAAAATAATTTGAATTTGATTTTTGTAATGATTTTTAGACTGACGAGGCAATGACATGGCGTGTTGACCGTCCGGTCAAACCATGTGTCAAGCCAATTGAGTCTATATGTTGCATAGTTGAGGCCAAGATGTTAATTTCTGAAATCACGTGCCAAAGTTAATTATATGACCATAATTCAGGCCAAAATAAGGTATTAACCCTTTACTTTTCTTAGTATTCTTACCCATTTAGGAGATCTACCTGGAGTGTTTAATGTGTTCTATCATCGATGGGTGTCTTGGTCACTATAGCATGAATTAAAAAATTGTATTGTATTGGCAGTTAAACAGCAAAATATTAGTATCATAGCCAAACTCGGAATGGTACAAGAGATAGTGCTAAAAAAATATATCGTGTCAACAAGTGTTAAGAGATCGAGACATGGTACTCTAGCTAGTTTTAATCATATTGTACCGTCCGAAAAATTAGAAAAAAATTCTATGACGTCAAAATGAAGTAGTTTTGAGAGAAACTTAAGGGGGGAAAAGCATAGCTCTCCTCTTCAACACAATCTTAATTGACACTTACTTCATCCTATTCTCTTCCTCTAAAACAACACTCAGCTCTTTCCAGCAAATAGAGACCGAGCCCTCTTTCTCACAGCTGAGATAAGAGGTAATGTATTAACTTTGCGATTGGTTTTAGTTAGACTTAATTTTAAGATTAATTGGTGAAGTGTGAATTTTACTATACGAGCCTTTTGTGCTCGATTTCTCATATTCAGTTAGATAGTATTTGACTCATTGCTATCCTATGCAATTCCGATATTATTTCGATATGATATCTTAACAAAAATATATTATATTATTTAAAATGGTATTTAACCAATATTAAATAGTCACAAAATAGCCTATCATAAACTAATAAGATATGACCTCCAAATCAATTCTTCAATCATTGCACTCTAGGGCATCTCACTCTATTTGCACTATAGAGCCACACCAAAGAGAGGGAGGAAGCCCTGTCTTGCTCAATGTCTTTGGCTCCAATGCATGACTCTGTATATCAAGCATCAGATTTATACCATTTTCAACCAACCGATGCAACTATCTCAAGCATCATACTATCTTATGCAAAGCTTTCTCATCCATTCATTTACCAAATTAAACATCCCTATCGGCAGCAGCCTCAAGGTAATTAGCTTTTTGTTTTCGGCCAGAACTGTAAAAGGTAGAATGATTTCGTTCGTTGAAAACCTTTCATCTCATTAATTACTTTCTATATGAAAAAAAGGCAGGCATGATGAAGAGAAGGGAATTATTGAGGAGGATTTTTTTGCTTACTTTTGCTTTGTTAATTTTGTGTTGGAGTAGGGATTTGAAGAGTAACAGTAGGGGTGGGCAACGGGACGGGACGGGATGCCGTATAGTGCAAAGTGCATTGACTCGCTAAAACACAACACCTAACAATGGCCAAGTGTAACCAATGGAAAGGACTGCAGTATAGTGGCTCAAGTGATAAATATCGAATCCACGGGTCTCTAGAGTTACTATTACTCAGCTTCAGTTTATTATTTAGCAAACCAGATTAAGATGAAACAACTAAACCTACTCTAGCAAACTACAGTTAAAGCTAATCTAATTATAGGTTGGGAACTCACTTAGGTATGATTCCCCCTAGCCACTAGCCAGACAAACAATTGATGATTTCCAACTTGTTTCACTTTCATTCACAATGCGGAGAATCCTTGACTAGACCTTGAGTCTCGACTAAAGGAACAAGGCCCTCTTAAGTCAATTGCCTAGAGGGACGTATCCTTCTCTAGAACAACTGATCAAGGCGTTCTGAACTAGACTCCCTCTATCGAAAGAGGTTCTCAATCGATACAAAGCAGTGAATCAACCCTCGACTAAAGCAATCGATCCACTACTATCAATCTATGGTGCTCTATTGACCTAATCAGGTATTCCCTCTCATAGGATCAAAGCAGAATCAATAATCTCGACTAATGCAGAATTGAATCATGAAAACATGCATAGATTGAATATGAACTCAAGATTATCAAGTCAGAGTACTCATACAATCATCCAATCAAACAAACATAGCTAGGGTTCCTCAAAACCTAAGTGAAGGGAAGTTACTCCATAGAGAAGAGAGAGACTGCAGTAAGAATCTTCAGATGATCAGTCTTCAAGTCCGGGCTTGTTCCTCGAGCTTCCAAGGCGAAGAAATCCTCCAATTCCACTCCAAGAATGCCCTCAAATCGCCCTCTCTCTCTTTGGTTCGTCCCTTGGGTGTTTGGGATCCAAAACCCAGCTCTCCCTTTGCAAAAACGCACAAAACAGGCTTTTAACAGCCTGCGTTCGCGATCCCCGGTCAAAATACCTGGTAGGGTATTTTAGGTCACGACAGGGGATTTTTTTGGTTCACGACCGGGGATTTTTGGGTCACGACCGGGGATTTTGGTTCACGACCGGGGATTTTTGGTTCACGATAGGGGATTTTTGAAAACGCAACGTCTGGAGACAGGGGAAAAATCCCCTATCAAGGCCAAAAATCCCCTACCGGGGATTTTAGTGTCACGATAGGGCCCCCTTCTGTTTCTCAGAGAAGCCCGAAACCAATTTTCCCCTATCTTTGATTCTTCGTTTCTCCCTCGTTTGGACTCCAAATCAGGTGCCGTTTGATCCCAGATGCTCGTATTCTCGTCCTCTTTCTTCTCATGACAAGATTACATGATTATATGGTCACAAAATGAGGTAAAAATCCCTTCTTCTTCAAGTCATACCCGAGTTTCTTCCCCCGAGTCGCCAATTGATCTCCGATTGACTTGAAACTTGCGCCTACGCTTCACTTTATGTGCTAGGACCTGAAATGTGACAAAGGAACACAACCTAGCGTAAAATAGGCCAAAGAAGCAATAATGCAAGCTTAAACGATCAAGAAACAAAGGGGAAAACATGTGCAAATATCGAGTCATCAAATCCCCCCACACTTAACCGTTTGCTTGTCCCCAAGAAAACCTAACTCAAACCAATGCAGCTCTCCAGACCTCTATAGCAACATGCACCCTCGATCCTTGATAGAGGATTTTCTAGATCATTTAGCAGCTTACGAGGTCAACCGACGCACAAGTCATCTCATAGCTTCTTCGGCGAGAACTCTAGTCTCGAGTCGGCATCATGGCAAATAGTGATCAGAGGACAAATGAATCGTGGACGAAGAGACTCTCAAAAACTAAAGATCATGGACTCACATTTTTCAAGGTGCTCTTATTTTCTTTTTGAAGACGGTTGGAACCCCTTTTTTTCCTTTTCTTTTATTCTCTTTTTTTTTCTTTCTTTTTCAAGGGTTCCAACCCGATTTTCAGAAAACGGGCTCCCACCTAGCAAAGGTTTTGCGGGAACCCGGCTCTTACCGGCCATGCCGGGAGCGAATGTCTCGAGCCTCGTGCGGGGAAAGGAATGTAAGAGGGCTGGAGGTAGTAGGTGGAAATTGGGAACGAATTCCCGTCTCCCCTTACACACTTTCGCCCTATTCGCACGGGAGATGTTATTTTAAAGCACATTATCGAGCACCTTTTATTTCAAAACATGATACAAGAGTCCATGACAGGTAGAGAGTCCACAACACCACACAATTCAAGGGTCCTAAGATCACTAATTCACTCAATCAACCAACACAATATGAAGAAGAAATGAGACTTCTTAAATGCATCAACATCCTCCATAGTGCTACACTA